TACAAAATAGCAAATTATTTGTAAAACTGTTTCAATATACTTTTAAAAGAGTAAATTACGCGAATGGTCCCTGTGGTTTAGTGTAAATTACACACTTGGTCCCTAACTTATTTTTCTAACTCGGACTGTCCTCAACTTTTAATTATGTAACCCGCCACGTCCCTATTCTCACAGTCCGTCAATTGTTTCCGTTAGACACCCCACGTGCCTTGCACGTTAGGGGTATAAAAGTCTTTTCACATTTCCAACGATCTTCAAATACTAAATTTTCATCAGGATCGAACCTAATTTAGAGTAGTTTCTTTCAATCCTCCATCGTTTGAAGCGGTTACACCTAATCTCCTTCAAATCAAGGATGGTTCAATGCGATTGTGGGCGTGCTGCTGTAATTCGAACTTCAACTACTAACAATAATCCAGGAAGACCCTTTTACGCATGTCCAATTAAGGTATGTTGTAGTTGAGAATTTTGTAATCGTAACCCTAGATGGGGATATCACTGTATGCGATTATAGGTATTGTAACTGTGGCTTTTGAAATTGACAGGAACCACGTAAAGGATTTATTGCTTGGGTAGATGATGATGAAAAGGATCATGGTGACAGATTGACAATCTCCTGGCTTGTGAGGTTGAACAAGAAGCTGAAAAATGAAAATCTTTTCTTGAAAATATGTTTATTTAATAGTTGGGTATTGTTCTTGGTGATACTTGTTTACAAGTTGTAAGGTGGGGATGAGTTGTTATTGTAATGGTAAAGTCTTCTGTAATGGTTAGGTTGTAGCAATGTATGTGATGGTATCATTATCTATAATGGTTAGGTTGTAGCAGTGAATGTGAAGGTATCCTTTTCTGTAATGGTTAAGTTGTCTATGTATTGTAATGCAATGGTTAAGATTTTAAAGATCAATGAAAATGGTGTTATGTATTGGTTAGGTTGTCTATGTATTGTAATGCAAATGTACTGTAATGGTTGTAGCAGTGTTGTATTGATTATGTTTTAAAGTGATGTATAAGCAACATATTGACCATTAATTAGTACCAAACTATAACAGGGCAATAAGGGTGACATCATAAGAAGAATATAACAATCTAATTTTGTACCAAACTATTATGGAAAATATAAATGTAAAAATCAATATAAACCAAATTATTATCTACCCAATGGTGTATCATAAGAAGAAAACATTCCATTAATTAGTACCAAACTATTACTGGGCAATGAGGGTGACAAACTAGTTCATCCAAAAGTGCCAACATATTGGCTAAAACAAGTATCAAAATACTGCCCCTATTACAAACTAGAGTAAATAATGTACCAAAATATTAGCCCTATTACAAGCAGCAACATAACACAATCCATTCATATTTAAAGTAACAAAAGACTAGCCCTATTACAAACCATCAAGTGGTTGCCTTCCCTTTCCCTTTTCCTTTTACTTGTGATTGTCCACCACCCCCACCAACAATTGGTCTTTGCCCTTTGCAGGTTCTTGCATTGTGACCAACATTGTTACACTTCGTACATGTTACTGATCTATGGGCCCTTGATGCTGTGTTTCCTCTAACAAAGTCCTCCTTTTCACAATTGATATTGTTCTCTTCTTCTTTGGTCTTCCTATAGGAACACGATGTTTTGGAGGCAACAGAGTTGTTGGTATAGCTGACTTCTCCCACATGGACCTTCCATTGATTGGACTAACCTTAAAAGAATACATCTCTTTCCAGCTTGATAACCAGTAACATGGATGCACAAATGATTCTGGGATTCCCACATCTTTGTCATTCCTCCCCATGTCCCAAATAGCAGCCACACCATGTTTGCACGGAATTCCTATTAATTCCCACCTTTTGCACGTACAACTTTGTTGACCTACATCCACAATACACTGATCTTGCCATGGTCCAGCAACTTGATATTTTCCAGCACCACAAAATGTTGCAACATACTGTTCTGCCTTACTCTTTATGTTATCCAATATTGTTGTAGCTGTAGGAGTCAAAGGACCTACAACTTTCTGAATTTCCTTGTCAACTTTGACTATCTTCTTCATAATGTACTCTCTGATGAACTCAATGCAGTTAATAATTGGTGCATCACGACCATCTTCTATCTTGCTGTTGAATGCTTCACACATGTTATTAGTTAGAGCATCACAATGTGCTCTCCCTGAACATCAACAAATTCTATGTCAGTATTCAATTTACCTTCTTTTAAAATTATTAAGTAGAGATCGAAAGTCATTATACCAGTAAAGTGGGAGCGAGCCCAACTTTGAGGAGGTATTTGTTTCAGCCACTCATAAGCATCATTGTTAAGCTTCTTTAGTTTTTCCATTGCTTGATGAAAGTGTTGTACATTAGAGGTCGTGGCACATTCCCAAAGAAGATCCTTGAACACCTTTCCCCTCCAGTTCTTTTTCATGTTGTCGTGTATGTGACGAAGACAATAGCGATGCTCTGCACATGGAAATAGTGTTGCAATCGCAGGCAACAAACCCTAGCAATAGTAACATGTTTGTATGTTAGTATAACTGCATCAATAGTATAAAACTATAAAACCTAGTTTGGATAGGTTCCAATACCTTTTGCCTGTCACTCATAAACGTGAAATTGGAATTTGTTCCCAAACCTAAGTCATCACCCAAATTACTTAAAAACCAAGTCCAAGAATTCAATGTTTCTGATTCAACCACAGCATAGGCTAAAGGATATATCCCATTATTACCATCCAATGCCTTTGATAAGAAACATAAATTACCAGAAAACATTGGTCAGTTAACACTAATTAAAATAAAGAACATACAATACAAAAAGAAATAAGAAGATCTTACCACAGCAGACAAAACTTGGCCTGGATATGGACCTTTCACGAAGGCTCCATCAAGTCCAAGAAAGTCCCTTCTTCCCGCTGCAAAACCTCGCTTCAAAGCTCCAATGCAAACATAGATACGCCTGAATGTTCTTGTCTCAACAGTTGGATTCGCTTCACTTTCAACATCAATTTTAACCGTAGTATCTGGGTTACGTGCTTGTACCTCTAAAACATAATCCCTTAACAACCTGTACTGGCTGGCATAATCTCCTTGAACATGCTTTAAAGCTTGCTGCTTTGCCCTAAAAGTTTTCATATGCGAAATGTCCATCTGGTACTCACGTTGGAGTTGCTCTCGTAAAGCCCTAATAGGAATCTTTGGGTTTGTCTCAATAACTTGTACTATATGCTCTGAAAGGAACTTATAGTCACATGCTTTGACTTTCCTTGTTTGTAGACATCGATGCTCCTTCGTGTATGTCTTAACCATCCAATCTATGTCACGCTTCCACTTACTACAATATATAACCCATGGGCATTTCTCTTCTTCATTAGTAGCAAGATTTGGTATAGTGCCCTTACACACAAACCTAACCCTATTCTTATCATTTTTCTCTAATTGTATTTCCCTTCTTGTCCTTATGGAATGTAGTTTCACTTGTGTCTTAAAGTCCTTAGATGAACTGAAAGTTTGAAAAATGTAGAAGGGCTCACTAACCAAAGCTGCATCATTTTCATAAGCCCTATGTATGGCCCTAATAGTTTTCCTTCGCTTACCATCATTTGCCTCATCTGATGAAGACCCAGACAACAAAACCTCTGTGTTGATCACTTCTAACTCACCTTGTTGTGTACTTCAGGTACATTACTTTCAGAAGAACCTCCAACCCATTCTACATCCTTGTCAATGTTCATATGGAAATCTTTCATATCCACATCAACATCGTGTATGAGATTGTCCTCATCAATAAAAAAATCACTATCTTCACTCTCACTATCATCATCAAACTCATCATTTCCACTGCCATTGTTGTGTCCACTACCATCATAATCATCCTCATTCTCTACATTCATTTCAAATTCAATATGGTCGACCAAAGATGGTTCTTTGTCCAAATGACTATCATTCTCAACTTCTGTTAGGTCTGGAACACTCTCATGCTCAATTGGAGAGTCATTCCACTCCAAGAACAACTGTTTGGAGCAAGCTGGTGGCTCTTTAATTTCAACAATTTTAACCTTACTAGGGTTGGGGGACATAGAATAAGTATGTAAATTTGTTTTCCCATGCTCAATATATACATCTATTACCTTATGGTTAGCAACATACGTACCCAGATGATGAACATCCTGATCTGAACCCAAAGCAAATAACCCAAAATCCAAATCGCCAAATGGTCTCAGGAAATGATAATAGAGTAGTGTTTCGTCTGAATCAATATGCCCAAGTTCCTCCATCATCTCGTCAATGTCGTGAATGGAAAAGGTGTCAATGTCTAGTAAATCAACATAATTTTGCTTGCCTTTGATGTACTTTCTTCCAGGGAACTTTGTAAACTGTCCACCATGGTGTAATCGGACAGAGAATATCGTCGGATGTCCGGCTGTATATTCACGGAAAGATTGGTTAGTCACATTTTTCTTTTTAAGTTATTAACTGATTGAGGGAGTAAACACTTACCATATCTACGAGCAACGTCAATCTCGTCCATGGTAGCACGTATCCTCCAAGGCGCCATCGTCGTTTTCAAATGTAGGGTTCTTTCGATCAAGGGTTTTCAAGGGTTTTCAAAGGGTTTTCAAAGGTTTTGTCTGTGAAGCTTGTGTCTGATCACGTTGATCAACGATACGTCCTTTTTTTTCTTGGCGGTATAACATTGGATATGTGAAAAGACTTTTATACCCCTAACGTGCAAGGCACGTGGGGTGTCTAACGGAAACAATTGACGGACTGTGAGAATAGGGACGTGGCGGGTTACATAATTAAAAGTTGAGGACAGTCCGAGTTAGAAAAATAAGTTAGGGACCAAGTGTGTAATTTACACTAAACCACAGGGACCATTCGCGTAATTTACTCCTTTTAAAATAAACATACTATTAGAACATACCAAAATAGTCTTGTACAACATTAAAAGGTCGTACTTAATCTTTGTTAAAAACAATATTGGAAGAGGAGGTAATAGAAGAGCTTTGCTCGTAATAACATTATTTCATTTCGACATTATTTATTTAGTCTATATCCATAGGATATAAATGAGTTAGGAGATATTCAATTACCTATTGGTAACCATCTCTATTAATGAAATAACAAAAAATATGTTAAATTTGAGTTTATTTTGGAAAAAAATCAAAAACTAAAAAAAAAAAAAATACACAATGTAAAGTTTTTATTGAACAAACCAAATTTCCCTATTAATAACCGAATGTCAAGTTTTTATTAAACAAACCAAATTTCCCTATTAATAACCGATTTGGAAACTAATATAACAAGTAACAAGTAAAAAAGTTGAGTTTTTTAATTTATATCGTGTATAACCAGATTAAAACAATAAATAATGAAAATCTTAAAAATAACGAAGTAGACATTGATGTAGTTGTTTGGTTAAACTATATTATTATTGTTTTTGTAAAATTGTTTCAATATACTTTTAAAATTACTTAAGAGAGAAACATGATATTGGCTATGTACACATTTATTGTTTATTGTTTTTTATTTTTGTAAAATAAGCCCTTGAATTTATATTTTTGTATACATTCAGTCCTTATGATCGACTATTTCATGTTAAGTTTTTAGTTTCTACACATTTAGTTCTTATTGTTTTTGTATACATTTATTCATTATGATAAGTTTCTCAAGCTTTTGCTTACATTACATCTTATATGAGACAATTATTAATAAAACGTTATCATATGTGACCCATATGGGAAATGAAATCATGTGTTTTTTTTCTTCGTTTTAATAATAACATTGTACTTTTAATATTAGTAACTATTATACTACTAGAAAACAGCCCTTTAATGATATGCAAACAATGACACGCGCTGATAGAGGACTCGTATTTGTGCGTGCCCTAAAAAATAATGTTAGTTTTGCAAAATTTGAAGAATAGAGGACACGCATTTATGCGTGCCCTAAAATTAGTGCCAGAAAAGAAAAAAAAAAAAGGAAATATGAAGGGCGCCTTTCATAAAATATCTGTCATCTAAGTGTGTCGCTTTATAATTTTTGAATGAAACACGTGTTTTAAGGCGGGATTTCACCCGCTATTGGATCCCAAAAATTAAACAATCCCCCTCCCTCGCCTCTTCCAATTAGCAAGAAAAAGAGGGCCTTCGTCTTCATAGCAGCATCGCACCACCACCCAATCTCCGATCTCGCACCGCCAAGTGTCTCCGACCATCTTCTCCAACCATTCTTTCCTGTCGCACTACACCGATAACAAAACCCCCATCATGATATGCTACTGTTTGTATTTTTGTCAATCGAGATCAAATCATTCATGTCACAGGTGCTCATGCTTCACGTTCGTATGATAAAACCCTAATCGTAAAAACCATGATTCTCAAGGTCGAGAGCAACGACGCCATCAAGAATGTCAAATACATGATCCAGGTTCCTCTTTCTCCTCTATTCTTACCTCTAATTTTGATTTTGAAACTTCTCATCTTCTCCTCTATAAAAACCCTAACCGGAAAAATCATACAGGTTTCAATTGTGATTTCCTCCTCCATACTCGATCCCTACTTCTACTCTCTACGCATCTCAGGTAGGATCCGTTCTTTCTTCCTTTTTCTCCTTCTTTTTCTTTGTTTTCTCAGGTACGACATCATTCTCCCCTACTTTTTTGCTTCTACATCCCATTCTGATACTTTTTAGAGTCGTGCACACCACAATCACATCCATCATCTAAAGATTTGGTTCTTTTTTATAAAGATCCTCAGGGTTCGATTCAAGGTCCTTTTATTGGTATTGATATTATTGGATTGTTTGAGGCTGGATATTTTGGGATTGATTTGCAAGTGCATCTTGCAAATGCACCAAATGACTCACCTTTTGCTTCACTTGGTGATGTCATGCCTCACCTTCGTGCAAAAGCCAGACCTCCACCTGGATTTACTGCTGCAAAAAGTGAAATCAATGATAAATCCAATATTCTTAATCCTAATGCTATGATGAAAAATGATCCAAGGTTTCAACATGGGTCAACCATAGAAGCTGAGAATAGGTTAATTGAGTCTCTCAGGTCTAGTAGTGGTGGCTCACTGGAGAAGTTTGGGCTTTCTGAAGGTATGCAGGGGTATTTTGGGAACTCTTCTTCGATTCCAGCTATGGAAACTGCAAAATTGATGCAACTTGAAAGGAAAAAAATATATGTCTAGTCCTTACTCTCTTTGGTATGCCCCCCCTAAATCTGACATTCTTCAAGATCCTTCAGTTTTAACTCAAAATCCTCCAAATCCAGAGTTCATGTCTATTCTTCAAGGCATATCTGAAAGGTCAAACTCTGCTGCAAACAGTGGGGTGAGTAGCTGGTCTAACTTTCCTGTTCAAACCGGGTTGGACCCACTTCAGGGTAAACATTCCGTCTTCAGATACCATTCAGGGCCCACCGAAGGCTGGAAGGACAAAATCTACCCACACTGGGTCCACTAACACTTGAAAAGCTTCTATCTGTTATTGCTTATTTTTTGCATATCTTAACAATAGCTTTGTTTAATTTATATTCCATTATAATATACATATAGTAGGCTATGATGGAGTATTCTATAATGTATGTGGGTTACTTACATATCAACCACTTTGACATGGTTTATTATTAAACAGCACGTCACACAAAGTTGAAGTATATGAGAATTGAACCTGGGTCAACTACATTTTGAATATTTTATTACCAAGTGATTACCACTTGGCTAGGAGGTTAAATTGTTTACCAAATTAAATATTGTCAAAATTTAGCAGGTTAATGGAATAGTTAGTATCAAAATTTTCTTTGTCACCACTTTAACATGTTATTGTTATAACAGGTCACAGTACATCAAAATGGTTAAATTTTTGTAAACCTTAGTGATTGTATATTATTTTATGACAATATCTATAGTAAAAAAAATATGTTTCAATCATTTGAGCACAACTATTTAGGCACAGAGTAAAATAACTGAAATTACCATCAGATTTATACATAAGCTATTGTGGGAACAGGAACAAGGAAAAGTTAAATAACCAAAACATTATCTAATCAGAGAATTAACAGTTGAGAACACTTGACTTGATAAACAAGATAATTAACTAATAACCCTTGAATTACCATCAGGTTTTGGCTAAAATAGATCCCGGTTCTAATCTTTATGCTGATTTCCGAAAAAGCCCCTTGACCAATGCAGTCAAAGTGTTTGACGTTCCATGCATATGTAAAGTGAAGAGATATAGGCTACAAAAAGTATCATCATCCCATGCCCATGGTAGACCTGATTCCAAAAGCCCTTTGCAGCAATCTGATTCCGATGTAAATTTCTTTTTTCTTTTTACTTGTGGAATGATTGATTCCAAATGTTGATATTTTTTTACTGATTAGTTTTATGTTTTGTTTGACAGGAATGATTTACTGAAATAAGGTTTGAAAGATGGATTCTTGAACTTGTTTGCTGGTTGGTGCATCGTATTATTAAGGTTAATCGTTTTTCATCCCATGCATTTGCTAGTATGTTTAGTACTGATTTTGGTTTCACATTATCAAGACTATTGCTTTTTTTTTTTGGATTTGGATGTTTATGGGTGTGTTTAACGTTGTTTTTTTTAAACACTCCCCTTTTTTGTATTGATAAATGAAACTAAACTCAATTTTTGAGTTATTATACATGCAAAATTTTCCTTTTTTCCTCTCTATGTTGGTGTTGGTCCTAACTGTAGCTGCAGAGCAATATATGTATCAAAATGTTCCTAAAAACCAATTGACTCCAAAATCTAAGTGGGAGACGTGTATCTGCAGAAATTTTTGCTCAGGCCCCTTGTATGTCATCACTTAGACATAATATGTTGATGTCCTTAATTAACGGCTTAAAATGTTTTTAATTGATTTTGTGAAAATTAGAAAAATCCAACTTTCTTATGTAATCACCTGGTTTCTCCATTCACAAAGAAAGTGAGCAAGAAGAAAACAAAGAAGAAAATGAAGTTGTTGAATGTGTTACAGACATGCGTACTTATTTCTTTCATTGTAGTTGGATCTGCAACTATTGAAGAACGAAAGGTTAGTATACAGGCTTATATACAGAGAAGATAGCAATTAAAAAGTATTATTTCTTACCAAAACTAAGAACCCAAACTCCAACTGATCACATGATGTACACATCGTCTTCCACATGATAAGAACAGAATATACAGTTTAATTTGAATTAACTCCTGATTCTAATGCAAATTAATCTTTTCTACAGGTTTTTATCGCCTACATGGGATTTCTTCCAGAAGGCGGATATTCACCTTCTTTGCATCACTTTGAAATCTTGAAAAATATTTCAAGCCCTAGGTATTTCTTTGAATTACATTTTCATTTTTGAAACCACAAATATGTTTTGATTATATCTTTAAATGGGACCAGGTTCGCAAGCAACGCCCTGATAAGGAGTTACCAAAGAAGCTTTAATGGATTTGCTGCCTATCTCTCCCAAGAAGAAAAATGAAAGTTGGCTGGTAAGTATCAATGACCAGATTTTGCTTCATTTAGATTTCCTTTTTGTTTTCAGATTTTATCATGAAACAAAATTACAAGTAACAGACAAAATAATCACATAAAATTGACAAAATAATTATACAAAATTAAGAAACAAGAAAGCAACAAAACAAATGAGAAACATTTTCCAAAACAGTTACAATGGTTAAATGTTAGTATTGATCGTACACAGCCTCTTAATTAATTCAGTGCAGTTAATTAGAGTGCAGTTATACGATTACTTTTTTCCATCAATCAAAATTTCTTAACCACACAGAATTTGAGATACATAAAAAACGACTACATAAACTGAGAAAACAAGAACTCGATGTGATCCACACGAACTTTTATATATAATTGACTAATTGTGGATCTAGATACTATATATATATATATATATATATATATATATATATATATATATATATATATATATATATATGTAGTATATGCTTTGCTAAGATTGACTAAAACCCTAATTAAATGCAGGTTATGAAGGGACCGTCTCCATATGCCCATGTCAAAAGTTGAACCTCCAGATAACGAAGTTGTGGGACTTTATGGGATTTCCAATAACAATTGAACGAAGTCCCGTTGGCGAGAGCACCATGATTATTGGTGTCATAGACAGTGGAATATGGACATAGTCGGAGAGCTTTAGTGTTGAAGGCCTCAGACCAATTCCCAAAAAGTGGAAAGGGGAGTGTCGTCGTGGCACAAATTTCACTTGCAACAGGTAACTTTAAGTTGAGGCGGTCTAGATTTCATAAGAGTAGAGAACTGGATCGAGAACTTATTTGAGGCTGTTGTCCGGACATTTTACGTTACCTTCAACACTAAGGACACTCAAATATCTAATCTGTAGATACAAGTATGTATTACCATTCAATGTAACATCCGGATTCCCAGGTATATTATTTTATTCATTTATTTTGAAGTTTGTAGAGGAACTCGGCGAGTTGGTGCTTAGACTTGCCGAGTAGGGTAGCGAATTCTCATCCGGGTTCATGATCGGACTCGGCGAGTCCACGCTGTTTAATGAAACCCTAATTTCCCGGGCTTGGCACCTATTTAAAGGCCCTTAGGGCCGTCATTTGCGGCTACCAAACCCCAGAGAGAGACCCTAAGAGATGTAGAGCGTTTGTGAGGGATGAGAGGCCACTTTTGATCATTTTGTTGGTGTGATTGCAAAAGGGAAGTGACCAAGGCAAGAGGAGGTTGAAGGAGGAACGGATCTTGTGCTTTTAGAGTTCAGAGACTTCATCTTGAGGTATTATTTCAGTCCTTCTTCGGTTTTGGTGTTGATTCTTAGAGTTAGGGTTTTCTAACCCCTTTAAGAGAATGGATATGTGGGGCAATTGGTCCCTTCTCAAGTTTATACTTTGGATCTGGACTTAAAGAGGTCCAAAGACCTTAACCCATGGAGCTTTGGGGGTTATTTTAGTAGCCATGAACTTAGGAGTTGATTTTTGGGGATAAATCACCAAGTAGGATCATCTAGATGTTATATGAGTGTCAAGGTCCAAACTTTACATGATTATCATGCTTGAGAAAGTCAGATCTATGGGTTTAAGGAACAGATCTGACCTCTGGAGGTCATTGGAGTGTTTGCATGGCATGAACTCGCCGAGTCCAAAGATTAGACTCGACGAGTAGGGTTAGGGTTTCTCGTAAATCACTCAGCGAGTAGACTCACCGAGTTGGGGGAATAACTCAGTGATTCAGAGAGGGATTAGAGGACTGGAGTTCAAGACGGAACTCGTCGAGTTGAGTCGGGGTAGCAAGGTGTGACTCGTCGAGCAAGGGGAGGGACTCGACATGCCAAGCGAGACTAGAAGTTAGTGGACACGTGTGGACTCGTCGAGTTGCCCAAGTGCACTCGACGAATCGGGTCAAAGTTTGACCGTTGACTTTTAGGGTTTGGTCAACAATGAGGGCCTCTGAGCCAAAGGAGGGATAAAATGGTATTTTACCCTTCTGAGGGTGCCTAGAGAGGGTTGAGTCTAGTTCTGAGAGTTATATTTATGAGAGTATTACTTTATGTGATTAGGTGGAGGCTAGATCGCATTCCTACCGAGTCAGAGATTTACCGAGACATCCGTTGTGAGTCTTCTCGCTATACTTTACCTTGAGTGGTAATTAGAGTTATGTGGCAGAGTTATTGTATGCTATTATGTGATGTGTTGTACTGCATTATTTCTATGTGGTTTATGTCATGTGTATATCAGAGTATATCAAAGTTAGAACCGGAAGGTTCACAGAGTTAGGACTAGAGGGTCCACAGAGTTAGGGCCCACAGGCCCACAGAGTTATAGCCTCGAGTGGCTAGTATGTGTTATGTATGGTATTTTGTGGAACTCACGAAGCTTTATGCTTATAGTGTTATGTGTTTCAGGTATCAGTGATGATCGCGGGAAGGTGCCGACATGATTCGTACACACACATGGTTTTTTTTTTTTTTTTTTTTTTTTTTTTTTTTTTTTTTTTTAATGTATTTTGATCTTGGAAAATATGTTGTGAAACAAAGTTATGATACAATGGAGTTTTATTGATAAATGTGTTTGGAAAAATGTGTTTAAAAATGCGAAAAATTTGTTTTAAATTTTACGGTGTTACATTCAAGCTTCACTTTTTCATGTCCTTTCACATTTTCGTATGTCAACATGTCAGTTATTGTGCTATTCTGCATTTTATTCAATGGGATTCATGTATACAACATTGATGAATTGATTTTATGTGCTCTACTTTGCCATGATACACATGTTTTTGTTTGAATTATGCAACTTATTGACACAGAGTAAGAAAAAGGTATATCTAGTTCTTCTTTTTCTATTTTATGTGCTCTACAGGTACTTCTTTTTAATCTTTCTAAAAATTCATGTTTTATATTTTTATTCAAATTTTGACACTTTTTCTGAAACAATATCATGTCTTACATGAATTTTTATTTTCAGATATTTTGCATTGAATGCAAAATTAGCTATGTCGGGGAGCATGACTCATGATGTGTTACGTGATTTGTTGGGCATAAAAGATAGATATGACAACTTATTCGGTACAAAAACTATTATAAATTTTGTTTTTTGTATTGATTCCAATGTGTTTTCTGAAGTTTGTAGGTTGATTTTTTTAAATATTTAATAATCAATCTCTTGGTTTAATGTGTTTGTTTTAATGGCAGTTGATGATTGAAGACAACTAAATTAAGGAAATATATGATATGGAGGATTTTTTTGACATGATATCTGAAACAAGAAGGTACCCTTTATAGCAAAGTAGTATTAGGTTATATAGTTAGGGAAAACCTCTTAATAACAATGTATAATCAGATCCCTTTAATATCAATGTATTATAATTTTTTGACATGATGTTATTGGATGAAATTGATTGTTTTGGAATATATATTTTTTTATATTTTTGTATTATGCATAAAAGAGTATCATAAAGGCACGTCGTATATGCATATTGTAAATGGTTGCTGAAGTTTATGACATGCAAATGCGTGTAATCTTCATTTATGACATGGGCTATAATGATACGCAATGCGTGTCCTAAATGTGCGTCATAAGGTTACGACACACAAATGCGTGTCATCCTCCTTTATGACAGGGCCTTCCTTGATACGCATTGTGTGTCGTAAATGAGCGTCGTAATAGTGTGTCGTAAATGCGCGTCGTCTATAGACGACGCGCGAAAACGTATCGTCTCTTGTTATGATAGGGCTTTCCTTGACACGCTTTTGCGCATCGTCTGAGCGTTTTATGACATGCATTGCGCATCGTAAAAGGTTGTTTTTCTAGTATATAATACCAACTATATTTAATTCTAATGCAAACTTCATTTAATATCAATACCAACTACATTACATCACGTGAAGAAAATACATAATCCA